CTGCTTCACATGTGGGGTTCATAATAAAATGCCCCAAATAATCACACACACACACAAACACCTCACATCCTTATTAAACCTTTAAAGTCATTTTCTGCCTGCCAGCGTCAGTTTCATTGCTTTTGTCTGAGCCATCCTTGAACTTTCAGACATGATGTTTGCGCCTTCAAGCTCTTAGATCCTGTGTTAGTTTCGCACTGTGCTTCAGGAAACCCCCTCCAGACACTCTGTCAGCTCAAAACAGCCTTATTACCACAGTTCTGACTTCTAAATAACAACGCCTGACTTCCTGTTTGTGCCTGTCTGTTTGCAGTGATTGCAGTCCTCTCAGTGATTTCTGTGCATGAGTCTCAAACTCCTGCTAAGTGCAGCACTTAAAGGCTTTTATGTAGTTCCTCTGATTGCCACTAGATGGGCAAACACAACACTCAGATTGTTTTAGAGACAAAATGTTTTTTGCAAAAACCCACAACAGATGCAAAAAGCACAGATGAGTGATTCCAGGGGTAAAAAAACAAACATCTCTGACTCATTTGAACAGTTTTTTGTTTGATGTAATCATCTTGATGTACGTTTAAAGTAGCCATATTTTTTTACTTGTCAAAATGTTTGAAGAAAAACCAACTACAAATGTATTGAAAAAACTGTTTTTTGTAAAATTACTTTGGTGAGTGTGGATGGATAAGGAACTCATATATGAGCAGGCCGAAAAAGATACCGGTCTTCATTCAAACCTTTGTGTCCCTCAGATGAAGGACACAAGGTCAGAAACACTCATTGTTCTGAGCTTCTCAGGGTCCATAAAGGGTCTCATCTCCAGGACCCCTGAATAGACCTTACCTGGGACGATTGAATCTAAGCCACACTGGTAATGTCTATTCAGGGGTCCTGGAGAGGAGGGTCTATCGGATAGTCAAATCTCAGATTCAGGAAGAGCAATTTGGTCCTGGTCATGGAAAAGCAGACCAGCTCTACATCCTCAGCAGGATCCTGGAGGGTGCATGGGAGTTCGCCCAACCAGTCTACATGTGTTTTGTGGACTTGGAGAAGGTGCCTGACCATGTCTTGTGGGGGTACTCTGGTAGTATAGGGTACCAGGCCTGTTGATACAGGCTGTTAGGTCCATGTATGACCAATGCCAGAGCTTAGTCCACATTGTTGGTAGTAAGTCAGACTTGTTTCTGGTGAGAGTTGGACTCCGCCAAGGTTTCCCTTTGTCACTGATTCTGTTCATAACTTTTATGGACAGAATTTCTAGGTGCAGCCAAGGTGTTGAGGGGATCCGTTTTGGTGACCTTAGGATCTCATCTCTGCTTTTTGAGGATCAGATCGTGATCTCCAGCTCTCACTGGAGCAGTTCACAGCCGAGTGTGAAGCGGCCGGGATGAGGATCAGTGCCTCCAAATCCGAGACCATGGTCTTGAGCTGGAAAAGGGTAGAGTGCTTCCTCCAGGTCGGGGAGAAGGTCCTGCCCCAACTGGAGGAGTTTAAGTATCTCGAGTTCTTGTTCACAAATGAGGGAAGAATGGAGTGGGAGATAGACAGGCGGATTGGTGCTGCGTCTGCAGTGATGTGGACGCTGTACCGGTCTGTCATGGTGAAGAGATCTGAGCCAGAAAGCAAAGCTCTCGGTTTACCGGTCGGTCTACGTTCCTACACTCATCTATGGTCACAAGCTTTGGGTAGTGACCGAAAGAACGAGATCACAGATACAAGCAGCTGAAATGAGTTTCCTCTGCAGGGTGGCTGGGCTCTCCCTTAGAGATAGGTTGAGAAGCTCAGTCATCCAGAAGGGACTCAGAGTAGAGCCACTGCTCCTCCACGTCGAGAGGAGCCAGTTGAGGTGGTTCATCTGGTTAGGATACCTCCTGGATGCCTCCCTGGTGAGGTTTTCTTGGCATGTCCCGCTGGGAGGATACCCAGAGGAAGACYCAGGACACGCTGGAGGGACTATGTTTCTCAGCTGGCCTGGGAACACCTTGGGATTCCCGTGGATGATCTGGCCCAAGTGGCTGAGGTGAGGGAAGGCTGGGTCTCTCTGCTTAGGCTGCTGCCCCCGAGACCCAACCCTGGATAAGCGGAAGAAAACKGATGGACAGATGGACTTCTCAGAGCCAGGCAGTGGCCTAAGTAGTGCAAAAAGGTGTGTAGTTCAATGCCGCAGGCATCACACAGACCATTGCCATGGAGTCACATCACCATTTTGTAGTGATTGAGCAGATTGTGCCCAGTTAGGACTCCAACCAGTGTAGAGTTTTCCTTGTCAGGTGTGGCCCTTGGTGAGCTCTAACAGCAGCTTGACTATCTTTCAGGATGAAATTACAACATTTTTCTCTGGGTTTTTCAATATTTTGTATCCTGAGAGTCACTGTTTCACAAGTCAAGCTTTAAAAGTAGAGTTTCAGCTACAAGGAGCCTCGAAAGCTTTGTCTCCCATTCCACTTTTAGGAGCTTTAGAAGACATGAATAAACCTGAATTCTAAAACTGAAGTGCTTCATAAGAACAAATGGAAAAATATAATCTTCATGACAAAAGATGGAGCTGGTTGTGAGTTTTAAATGTGTTATTTGAAACTATCCATCCATCCATTTTCTGTACACGCTTCTTCCTTTTCAGGGTTGCGTGGGTCACTGGTGCCCATATCCAGCAGTCACAGTGCGAGGGGCGGGGTACACCCTGGACAGGTCGCAAGTCCATCACAGGGCGTGTTATTTGAAACTATATTATGGATATCAGAAGCCTCATCAGAACTCTGGTAGCAGCATTTTGAAGGAACCGAAGACTTTCCAGAGAGTTTGTTGGAGATCCAGATAATAAAGATTTGGTAATGGAGCCTGCATTGTTTTATGAAAGCACCAGGCCTGTTCTGTTGCTTGAATTTCTCCTTTCAGAGCAGGGATTTGTACTGAGAGGCTGTAGACTTGAGATTTCATGCCGTGTATCTGCCGACGCCTCTCATGTGGATTATCGTTGCCCTGCGGTTTCAGCAACAGCTTGTAAGAGGAATGAAAAACAAAACRGTAGCAAAGCCTGACCTCATGTCAGTGCTGATGCTTTTTTTTCTCCCTCATGTTGAAGTGTAGGATGTAAGTCAGCTGTTGTGCCGGAACGCCCTTGAGAACAATGTCAAATCCCTGCTTGATCTCACCTCTTTGAGAAACCCACATAGTGCATTTCAGAGCAGGAATCTGTGCAAAGTGGCTGTGATTGAGCCGTCGCACCAACGGGAAGAAAGTTGGACGGATGGAACGCACCGAGATGCTGTGACCGAAGCAACGATGACTCACACGTCTGTCATCTCTGCTGTTCATTCCTCATCTTGTCATACATGTCCGAGACGTGATGTCCGGGCTGAATCTCCTCTCTCTTGTGGAATTCACACACTTTTTAGCAAAATCCTCTCAGCTGCTACATCCATCCTTTTCCTCCCCAACACAAACACACACATGCATACATGCACATTTGCCAGCTTCACCATAGACTTTGGAATTCACTGTTGCCATGGCAATGGAGGAGAGCACGCTCTCTCACATCGCCTGTTCTTTTCGTTTTGCTTTCTCTCTCTCTCTCTCTCTGTGGAGGCAAACCAGCTTTTCTTCTTTGACAGAGGAGTCGTTTTTTGCCGCTGGCGTCAGGTCTTTTTGGATTTGTATGTATCGTTTTTTTCTCTGATATTTAATTTTTAGATACAGAAATGCGTTTTTTAAAGGAGCATCCTCTAGTTTCACGTTTAATTTGTTAACCGAACATCCACCCTTATCTCATCTCCTCATCTCAATCTTTACTTTTTTTATTCTCTGTCTTTTCTTTGCGTCCTTTCTGGCAGCCTCTCTTATCTGCTCTCCACATCAAACACCCACCTTTCCCCACCACCTCCCTCTTGCCTCTTCCAGCAGCTAAGATGACTGCCGTGACAATTCAATGAGAGGAGAGGACACTAAGTGAAGTAACCACCACTTGCTGAGAACAAACCAAGGAGTGCCCAACATTCAAAATAAATAGAAAAACAGCAAAAGGAAGAAAGAAGTGTGACGAGCTCTGAGGAGAGGAAGTGGCAGAGGAGCAGAGGCGAGAAAGCAGGAGGATAAACGGTGGATGGAGGCGGCTCGGACCGGGGCTACAGAGCGCTCTTCACTGACGAGGAAGAAGAAGAAGAACAGCAGCCGCAGGGGGGAGAGGAGATGGAGACGAAGGGGAGAAACATGCCTGCAGGTAAGACGCTCACACACTCATGCGCTCTTCTTACATCCTGAGACACATGTGCAGTCACACATGCTCACATTTACATACATGACACTTGGTAAAGCCAGGAAAAATTATTCAAATGCGCAAACATGCACACATGTCACACACAAAACCACCCATTAACACACACACACACACACACACACACACACACACACACACACACACACATGGGCCAGAGAGCAGATGTCTGTATTCAGAGGGCAAAGAAGGCACAAACATTTGTTCAGCTTCAGATCAGAAACGGCTCAAACGGCTGCTGACAGATCGAATTAAAACTGAGAAAATGAATTCTAAATTTTTCTCTTCATTTGTTTCATTTGGATCGTCTGGAAAACCGATTATCTCCTTTCAGAAGGAGCTTTGGTTGGTCAATTTGTCTGAGTTATTTCTAAATGTTGGCCAATCAGGATGAAGTGCAGCTGGGAAAAGATGTAATCATTTGTTATCTTTATACTGAACTCGGTGCTGTTTCTGTTGTTTATGTTTCAAACCAGTTTTTATCGCAGCATCAAACAAAAGATAACAAATTGAACTTTATTTAAATCGAACACTAACATCTGTATTTTCTTTACATGTTGACTGATTTGAGGTTTTCTGTGGCTGAAGCTGATTTTTAGAAATCGAGCAGCTGACAGCAAATAACAAATATCAAAATCAGGCCAACATTGTAAATAATAAACAGTTTTTAATGTTTTGCCTGGTGAAATAAAGGGTAAATAGATTAATAAATGAAATAAATAAGTATTACAGCATTTTTTTTCATACTGTGTATTTTTCATTTGTCAAAACACATCAATAATGTTATATTTCACATAAAAATATATTTAGCATCCTTTAGAAGAACCTGTACACTAATATTAGAAGTGTTCTTGTTTAAAATAATTTTTTACCCTTCAGTAAACTGAATGTAGCAGCTGCTACTGCAGATTCACTTTCCTGTGTGTTTATTGGGTTAAATAATCAAAACGTGTGGCCAATATTCAATTTAAAATTAATCAGTCTGATGGTTTGTTTCTAGTTTTCTTTGTGGCATTTTTTTAAAATTAAAATCATTTTATCTGACTTGATGATGCAAAATGTGTGCGTGTTTGTCAGATGCATGTTTATGAGGAGGATCACATTCTGGTCACAGAACCAGCAGCTTGTTGTTTCAGGATTATTGTTGCCATCCGGTTTGCCATGGAAACAATAATCGGGGGCCAAATTGATATCCACATAATACAGAAGCCATCAAAGGAATCGACATTTCCTGTGCGGTTTGTTTACTTTAACCTTCAGCTGAAACTGTTGCTCAGGTCTGAGAGAAAGCAGAAGTCTGCATGGCAGCATTTTATTTATTTATTTATTTATTTATTTATTTATTTATTTATTTATTTATTTATATTTTCATTTAAAATGGCTGAAATCTGTCAGAGAAGCTAAATGGAGTTTAACAAATGTAGCCCCCCATGCCATTTCCTCTTTCATTTATGTTTCTCGAGGAAAACCAAAATGAGTTGCATCATTTTAATGTTTGTCATCATGTGTATCTCTCTACGTTCACCTCAATATTTTTTACCTCCCCTTCTCTTTACAATAACATTTATTTTTCCTCTTTTTTTCCGTGGATTTTCAACCCTGTATCAGTTTTTAATTTCCTGCAGTATTGTTGAGACACAAAAAATGTCCTAAATTGTCTTATGCAACTATAAAGTCAATTAGGTTTTAAATTCAGAAACAATTTTCCTAATGTTGATTTGTTTGTGTTTATCCCATTAAAACAAAAATAAACAGAAATATTTAATATTTTATCAAAAAAAGATGTGATTTTTTTAAACAAGCCAAAACATAAGTTCACAGGGAACAAATGTAAGCGCACAATTCATGCTTAAACACATAAATCTTCATAAATCGATATTAATTTGTAGAAAGTACATTCACATGATTAATTAAAAAATAAAGTAAAATAAAAACAATGTAAACCTCTAACTCAATCATCTCTTGGCTTACAAGTCAGATGTCAAGGAGTTTTGGTTAATTATGATCTTTACATTCAGTGAGCCATGTTTAAATAAAGACTTTTTTACGAAAAGCAGTTTGTTTTGCAAAGCAAAGAGCTTCTGATTTGATTAAAAGCTCCATAACTACAGAAAAAAACATTGATATCCAAAAACAATAATGTTAAATAACATTTTATTTATATTTTCTAATAATTTAAATCCATTTAGATTTCTCCAGCAAAATATTCCACATGTTTATATTTTGTTTAGGCTGTGGGTTTGGCATTTTCTATGTTACAAGACTGCATCCTGTCAACATTTATTTCCTGTTTTCAGCCATGTTTGCTATGTTTTGATTAAAAATGGCTCGGATGTGTTCACACAGGGGTCAACAAAAAGAGCTAACCCATCAGCAGCTCATCTGCAGCGGTCCCCAYGAGGGACAGAAGTTCTATTAACACATAAATATTTTGACAGTTTAATTCAGTCTGAAGTTAAATGCAGAGAGTTGTGTGCTCTTTTTTCCTGAAGCTGCATGTTTTAATCACTGCCTGTCGCCAAAGGTGAAGGTGGAGKGATAGTGTTTGTGTTTCTACTTTCAGCAAAATATCTCATGAACAACTGGAGGAATTTGTGTGAGAAAAAGAAAGGAGGTTATTTTCTTCTGCAGTGGTCAGACAAACATCTTTTGTTTTATTTTATTCTATTTTATTTTATTTTATTTTATTCCTCAGACATGAGTTTCCTTCCACGCCCGGCCATGGTTTGGTGGGAACGAGGCATCCAGGTGTTGCTGACCACCATGGGGGCGTTCGCTGCTTTTGCCCTCATGACGGTGGCCATCGGGACAGATTACTGGCTCTACGCCCGCGCTTTCATCTGCAACAGCACGGCCAACTCGTCCCAGGACGACTCCAACAACAAGGACAAGAAAGACCCCGGAGCTCTAACCCACTCCGGCCTCTGGAGGATTTGCTGCCTGGAAGGTACAGCTGGTGTGTGTGTGTGTGTGTGTGTGTGTGTGTGTGTGTGTGTGTGTGTGT